TACTATGTAAAATCTATGTACACTAAGTGACGAACAGAGAGTTTTATGTAACTTTAAAAGAGGTCTTTACTACTTGGCAATGTTATTGGTATGTTGAACATCTAAGTTTTAAGCATTGTAGTTCTCCTTAAGAGGACTTACATGTGATTTCCTATATAAGACTTTCAAAACAAAGTGCTCCTAATGGCAGCCATTGGTAGGCCTTTTAATCATGATCCTGCAGTCTAAAATGGCTCCCTGGTATGTTACTAATGCTTGCATAGACTTAAAACTGTCTTAAAAATCTTCTCCAAAACTAAAGTTCCCAGAGCAGAAAATTTATCATGAAAATTCACTCTGTGATATTCAATAAAAAATACTAATTATTGGCATAGGACCAAATCACAATGTTTATATGTACTCATATAGAAATATAATTATATGAGTCTTCTTGTGTGAAACAGTTCCTATGACTACCTAGATATTGGGCATGTTTCCTTTGAAGCGAACCTTCACAAATAGTTCATAAATCATTACTGTATGTGGTGAAAAAATTGATACTCCTAACATGATCTTATCTTACTTCTGTATTAAAGAGTTATGGCAATTTTTCCTGCAGTGGATCTTAGGTGAGTGGTCAAGGATTGTTTAATGGGGAACATGAAATTTGAATAATCTTTGACAGACAGTTAGTTTATATTTCAAATCATCAGCAAATATATGTGGGTCAAGCGATACTATTGATAAACTTATTTCACTATACATAGATCATATGATGTATCAGTCTTAATTTTACTTTGTATCTTTTGAAAATACCATGTCTAGATATGTTATTCTATAAATAGGGCTAATTCAATTATACCTAATTACAGTGACATGAAAGTAGATATAACTTTGAATCGTACTGTAACAAGCCTTCAGTAACACTTTGATATCTAATGCAAAATTCATTTTTCTCATTGTGTTGGCTTTAAAGCAATTTTTATTTTTTCGTAAAGAAACTGTGAAGGATTTAATTGTATTCGTAAATAAGACAATATTTAACGCCTGTTTTGTTAATGTATATTCAATCTACTATCGTTACAATTAACTGACAATATTAAGAATATTTCAACAAGTTCTATCTTGCAAACAAAATTTACAACTGACTGTATACATACACATGAATGTATGTGCATTTTAGCACACCCTCTAGACCTGAATGAAGACAAAAATTCCTTAAAAAAAATTAACAGTGAATATTTTCCTAAGAATTCATAGAAAGTTTAACAAAAAGCAAAGAAATAAAATTAACTTACAAACTTCGTTGTTTTTGTTTTTCAATTATCAGATAAATTTACCCCACCCACTTTGACAAAATATAAAACCTACAGATTTTATGTTTACAATAAACACATAGTGTTAATTAAATATCAAATACACTATAAGAAACTAAGTAACTTTTTGAGTTTTGTACAAAGACCTATTAGAAAACCATGTTAGAGAAATATGCAAATATTGGCACTTTTTTGTTTGGCGGCATGGCCGAGTGGTTAACGCAACGGACTAGTAATTTAATGATCGCTAGCCGCATGAGTTCAAACCCTGTCAGGGGCAAGTCGTTGTTTCATTGAGCAAGAAACTTTACACACATTGCTCAGTACTGGTTGGTTCCAGGAACGGATTCGAAAGTGTGTCTTTAAGCTAATAGCTTCCTACACAATCGAACTAAAATAAATGCTGTATAAACCAAATATTGGCACTTTTTCTTTGATATTTTTAACGATACTTTTTGGATAAATAACTTAAAAAGCTTGATTTACATTGTGGTTTACATAGAATTTGATTATTTTTTATATGTTTTTACACTATTTATCGAAATATGCATAATTTGTGATACAGATTATATGAAAAAGAGATATATCAGTTTTGCATAAAATCGGCGGCCATATTTGACGCCATCTTGAATTCTGAAGTGGTATGAACGCTGATTTTGTTAAAGATTTGAATTTTTGTAAAGGAGAAATTTTATACATGCTTTAGTGTCAGTTTCAGGTCTGTACAAAAATTTTCACTGAATTAGCTAATATGTATGTCAAATTTATAACGCGGCCATTTTGAAAATGGCGGCCATCTTGGATGAGCAGAGATATTTTTTGGCCCGCTTCACTTTTAGAATTTCTATAGTCTAAAGATGATTTCCTGAAAGTTTCATGCTTGTATTACGATTTGCACTATTTTGACAGGAGAGACCTTATTTCCCGCTCCACTATAAGTAAACTGGCACAGGGGGAGAAGACAGGAAATTCGGGGAAGGGGGGGGGCGAAATAAAGAAATAACTAGGGACAAAAGGGAAGATACTTACCGTAGCCGAGGAAACAACAACGGATACAAACAAAAGTGTCACTGAAACAGTATGAAACAACAAACGTACACCTTATACATGTATAAGTCTCTTCATCTGTTCATTTTAAAATTATTATCTTCTCAATGACTTTTTTGAATATCCTCTACTTAAAATTTATTTCAGTTAAAATATGTGATCCTTTAATTATAGTTACAACAGCATATGGCTGGATTACAATAAAGTTCCTTTTTAGTAAATTAATAAAGTATTTTAAGAGGACATTTATCAGTAGCTTTAATATGGTATCATCGGTGAAATAGAACTCTTGAAAAATTATTTGTACAAATACTGAATAATTTGAAGTGTATTTCAAATAGTTTCCTTCATAATTCTATTACATTCCTAATTGTCATATAAATATGCATGTATTAATGAAGTCAGTATTTTATCCGAGAGTGTCATTCGCAGTCATTAGCAGTAAACAAGAAGACAAGCCAACAATTGATATATGTTGAGTATTAAAACATTAAAAAAAATAAACAACAGAACTTGTACGAAGTCTATTTGCAACCATCGCATTTTAGGTCAAACACATTGGTACTTTTCAATAGTATTTAATAATGCACAAATTTATTTCACATTAAACTGGGCTGCGTTTCATGGAGAGTCTTAAGTCTTAAGTTTGTCTTAAGTTAAAAATTGTGACAATTTTGCGTTTCAAAGAAAGTCTTAAAAAAGGTCCTAATTTATGACTCCTAAATTTATGACCAAAAACAGTCCTAAGTCTAGAAGTGTTTTAAAGGTATCTTAAGGTTTCCTAAGTCAAAACCACTCCAAAATCAAACAACTTTGTGTTGAATTTTGTTTTGAAAACTATCTAGAATAATAGATAATGGTCTAACTAAGAAAATAAATCCGAACACCAATATCTTTAATTCAGTCATTAACGCTGTACAGACGTTTAAAAGAGTTGTTTATCACATAAACCGCGGCGCAGGAGTGTAATAAAGCCATTTAATAAAAGCAAAATTGCACTAGACGATATTACACTAGTGTAATAACACTTTGACGTCACGTCATTTGAGCTATAAACTTAACGTTAAAGCGCGCTAATGTTAGCGTTACCGCTACAGGCACGTCAAATAAAAGTGACTCTTGTTAACTGTTTAAAATTCTTATTTTATATATGTGATAAATAGAATATTATATTCGTATAGATTCAATACTAAATTTATTGAACTCGTTGAATAAAACAATATTATGCTCGCCAGAGGCTCGCATAATATGATTTTATTCAACTCGTTCAATAAATTTAGTATTAAACCTACACTCATTCAATATCCTCTATTTACATGACGTCGCAATGTAGCGCAAAACAATACGCATCTATAAATAATAATATTACTGCGCGCTGTAAAATTGCAGTTGCGTAGCAAGCAAGGGGGTTCGTTACCATTTTTAGCTCGACTATTCGCAGAATAATCGAGCTAATGCAGTCACCCATTTGTCGGCGTCGGCGTCCCTGTGGTTAAGTTTTTGTATGTAAGCTGGTATCTCCATAACTACTGAAGGGAATGGATTGAAACTTCACACACTTGTTCTCTGTGATTATCTAAGATAATTGGCACAAGTCCCATAACTCGGATTTGCTTTTTTACATAATTATGCCCCTTTTTCGACTTAGAAATTCTTGGATAAGTTTTGCGTGTAAGCTGGTATCTCCATAACTACTGAAGAGAATGGATTGAAACTTCACACTCTTGTTGTCTGTGATTATCTAAGATGATTGGCACAAGTCCTATAACTCTGATTTACTTTTTCGCATAATTATGCCCCTTTTTCGATTCATAAATTCTTGGTTAAGTTTGTGTGTGTAAGCTTGCATCTCCATAACTACTGAAGGGAATGTATTGAAACTTGAAGGGTTTGTACCTTTTCAGACAATTTTATGTATTCATATAGGTAAGCATTATTATACTCAATGAAACACCCTTGTGACAAATTTCGAGCGTTACTGTCCTCCGACAGTTCTTGTTTTACAATGAAATTAAATAAAACGGTTATATGGTATATATTTTCACTCAACATGATAAGAGGAAAATTCATTACTTTTTATACTTGCTATAATCAATTACGGGATTATGCGCGTGCCATTGTATTTTGTAACTTTTTTCAGGAGAGCGAATTGGTCATAAGTCTTAAGTTTAAGACAAAAGATAGGACAGTTACTTGCAAAAACTTGTTCTCCTTAAGTTGGTCATAAGTCCTAGGATTTAGGATTAACTTAGGACTCTCCATGAAACGCAGGCCTGAATAGCAAATAGAAACAGGAATTAAAACTGAATGTTTCCTACGATTATATTAATACATTCGTGTGATTTAAAATTTATAAGGTATGCTGGACATAAGACAAAATGTCAGTAATTTTTCTAATATTAAAATATGGCTAAAACATGCAGAACATGAGGCACACATTTTTACCTGCAAAAACGAATATATCTAGTCTTCCTACTCCAAAACCTCATCATCCCTAAACCGCAATCATAAAGAGGACCGTTTTTTGTTGTTGTTTTTTAATATATATTACATGATATTTTTTAATATATTACATGATATTAATCAGCTATCAGCTCAATTAACGCCTTGCACAATCGGAACATTTTGGCTATTATCATTGATATCCGAAGTTTGACGGAAAGGGCCGAGAAGATGCGATTGATAGATAACGATGAGAGGTGTAGAACTTGTCAAATTAGGCTCATCTTTTATGTTATTACTTATTTTGTAGGATATGTGTGTTCTGAACCATGTGGAGATACACAGGAGTGTCAACATCACCACTTAACACACTGTCACATGCATACACACATTGTTTGTAATAGCGGCCAATGTGAATGCTCAAGTGGTTCCACTGGTAAGTACATGTAAATATGTATATGTAAACATATATTTTTTCACTTTGCTTTCAAGTAACGCCGCTCTTTGTGGAGAATTTCTTGCTTAACTTGTGGATGTTATTATATTTAAGGTCAAGCATCGACTAAAAGTTCTTAGAATATCTATATATGTAGCACACAATACAAACGTATATAAACATTGATCAAATATACATATACTTTTGAAATAATATGCAAACTTTAAGGGTTGTGCAACATGATCGGGGTCTCTTTAAGCCGTCTTCAGCTTTTATTTTCTGTTGAACAAAAAGAAAAAAACAATTCTTTTTTTCAAACTAAGCATACCAGTTAATCTATCTTTGAAAACTGTAAAATACCATTGTCAAGCTCAAAACATCGTCCCAAGAGCTTTTCATAACGCTTCTGTAACGTTCGTTTCTAATCATAGAAGTTCAGGAAACGAAGCGTCCGTTTTAGTTATTTGAATATAGAAGATATAACGGTATATTATATATCGAAGGGTGTCTTACTACGTGACTGTATCATAAGGTAGTTTAAACGTTGTATTCTCAAGTATAAATTTCTGTTGTAGGCACATCATGCACTCAGTTGTCCGATTGTAGCAGTGTTACCTGCAGAGATAATAACGACAGTGCCCACTGTGTGGATGGGTCTTGCCATTGTACTAGAAGACCTGGGGGACAGGGTGGAAATTAAATAAAATTTGATACACCAAAGCATATATCATTAAACTAATACCATAAAATGACATGTTTTTGTTTGTTTCTGTAAATTCATTAAACAATTAAATGCACACAAACATTTCTGTATTTTGATCGATTTGGTAAATTTGTTCCCGGGAAATTATGATATAATTCTGCTTTCAAAAGGTCTTTTTTCTGTATTCTTATACGGGTGCCCATTATGTTAATTATTGCAGACAAAAGTGTAGTTAGTAGAACCACCGTCTATACCCTAAACTAACTAACATGAAATAATACAACTATGTAACTTAGTTTGAATCTAAGTTTACAACATGACTGACTCAGCCCCACCTCGAAATAAATTACACACAACTGGCAAAAATACTATACAAATGAAAAATCATCCGTTTTAAAGACGTATTTAACAAAACTATCATCATCAATATAGTCAATTTTAACATATCGGCAATTATTCATAAAAATCTCGGATTATACGTACATGTAGTTCCAACACATGGTTTAAGATATAAACAAAAACACGTGTAATCATTGACAATTTATATGTATGTAATGTGTATAAAATTTCGTAAAACCCCTAATATTCAAAGTACAAATGTTTAACCATCATTTGTCTGATTTCGTTGCGGATTTGATTTTGGACAAATAAGTCTCGAAGCCCTAGTCCAAGAATTACATCCGTGAGATCTCTGCATGGCATGGTCGTTTTTATGACCGGCGATTTGTTTCTGTATATAAAGTGTAAAATATTTCGTTAAAATAAACCCACAATATTCTAAGTCTAACTGGTTAAGCAAAAATTGTTGATTTTGTCCTATGAAACAACCAAGGCTAGGGCTACGATATTTGGCATGGAATATTGTCTAGTGCATCTGTACCTAGTTATATAGCCCTAGGTTCCACTCTGGGGTTTCCTTATGCGTATATAGAAAAAGAAAAGAAAAATATTCTCTCTCAATCTACAAAGGCTAGATTCCCTTTTTCATGGATCAAAGCATTTCTTAGAAATAGAACTCAGTGTGTTGTTGTTAATAATTATAAATCTGACTGTTGTAACAAGTGGTTTTCAACACGGCAGTTTTTTGGACCAATATTGTTTCTTATATCCGTATTAAGTCCGCGGTCATTTGAGAGACCCAGTGTTTAGGGTTTTGCGAATCAAATCGATGTTAATGAGTAAATTCACTCTCTGAAGTTGTGGTTCCCGCGGGGTTTTTCGTGAAGAAGGTATTGATTTTCCCATAGTCTTTTAGTATAAGAAAACGTCCCTAATTTTACCTTAAAAGTGAGGCATTAAAGAGGAATGAAATGGTTGACACATAAAAATGATCTTGTTATATAGGGGTAGCCTACCAATTTCTTTGCAAAACGACTTCAAGGGGGATTTCAACTCAAACAGTCTACAGTGCTTCCATGCAATAGTTGTAAACAAGTTGTTCACGGCAGTCTGCAAGTGAAGATAGCACTAATAACACTATTTGAGAGGATAATGCTCCATTTTATACAAACAAACCATGCAGAAGAAGGTTTACATGATGTACTTTATAGCTAGGGAGCTCTATACGTTTGGCCTATCCAAGGGGGTACTTGATTTATATAGACTTGTATAGGAGTTATTACTCATTCCAATACTCAATTAAACTTCATATTCGAAGACACCTTGATGAGTTCTACCTACCACTTACATTGTCAGGTCAAAAGGTCAAGGTTACTTGGACTTGATATTTCAAAAACTCAACGGGTCATAAAGGGAAAGTGCGTATACATAAGGACTTGATTCGTTCTGTGTGGATACGTCTTAATATATCTAGTGCTTAAGTGACCGCTTTTTTTTATATTTGTTAATGTGAGTAATTGATTTTATATGTTAGGAATATCTGGTCTAAGAATATTAATGATGGTTTAAAGTGGGAGATATTGCTATGAATGAAAAGAGAGGAAACTCTATAGGTTATATTGTTGGAATTTCTTGCAAAGTTACTTCCCTTATTTCGTTAGTCTATTGTTATTCATAATAGTAGTAAGATTATGTATTATGTTGTTATGACTTGTATGGATGAGATTAAAATAAAGATTATATATTCAAAACATCAGCTTCGGTAAATCATTCAATGAATATTATACATGAAGTAACTCATAAACAATCATCAATATATATATACATGTATATGACATGACTTAAAAGTTCCTGCACATTCCTCATTCCTTTCACTTTAATATGATTCGCTATTAAAAGGAAATTTGCGGGGTGTGTAGCCGCTTAATGTACATGTATTCAAAGTCAAAAATCTATATGCGTTTGCAAAATTCGTAGACAACAGGAAAATGCGTTAAACCATTTCATGGATTTCAAATTTGTGTAACTCGACGTTATTGCCACTGTCTACTTTCTCACTATTTCAATTGTTTTGCTTCCAACAAGTTTACGCTCATAATTTAACGTTAATCACAACTTATGACAGGAGCTCATATTTGTGTCAGGACGCTGTTGACTGTCACAATGGTGGCCATCATTGAAACCATGGTCACTGCAGGGAGTGCGCTAACGGTCACTGTCATTGTACGGGACATAACGGCGGCAGCGGTAGATGGCAAACGCAAATAAACATTTCACTTAGTACTATAAATTGAATGCTTGACACTTCAAATAAACTATATATATAAATAGGTATACTGTGGTTTTCTTGACATGATCTATTCTATTTTCTTTTTTCACAAGTTTTTTTATCATGGTGGGCCTCTTGTATGTATTGATTTTATTAGTATATTGTCTCTATTGTTTGCTTGTGAAACCTTTGCTAGAAATGACAACATATGCTAGGCTAAAGTGTTCGCTAAAAGCTATAATAATAAATTTGTTATAGTTCAAGGTTTAAGTATAATAAATCGTACTAAATGTAGCACAAAGTAGTAGGTACAAGTGTGACGCACTTTGTTTTAGTACAATTGTGGCACATGGTAATAGGTACAAGTGTGGCGCATTTGGTTTTGTGTACAATTGTGACACGTGGTAACATGTATCACTTGGTAATATGCTTGAAGTTAGAGGATAACCGTGACAACACGTAAGACCCAATTATATACTCTTTTTGGAAACTTACCGGATATGCAAAAGGATTTAAACATGGCAATTTTACAGACATTTCTGAAAATATAATATCAAGTTAGAAAGAGTCACAGAAACCCTTTCAAACCAGTACTTTAGACCCGTGAATGTACTAGAAGTCGAGAATGACATAATGTCGATTGACACCTAGATTCCTGTCTAATGTTTAATTGAATTTTGAATATCGATCTCATGGCTGGCTAGAAATTCAAAGAAAGCTCGAAATTGATTACTTTTAATTAGGAAACAATCATACAACATGGTCAAAGTTAAAGTAAGCAGGAAATAGAATTTCCGATGTCATTGTCAATTTTTCCGAAGCTGATATTAATTGTAGTGGTTTAAAGGAGAAGGGTCGTTCTTACGATCTTGGGCTTTGTAGTCCGGTAACAATAGTAGCACAGTTGTAGTCAGGTTACCATAGTAAAACTGACGTCGTTATCAAACATTATTCTTACAGTAAAAGGTGAAGGTATGCAATTAAAGTAACCCTTTAAACCTGCTGGTACCAAAAGTGATCAGCCTTTGCCAACAGTACAAAGCCATCCGTGCAGTCTGACCTGGCTCTATACTGTTGGCAGTTCAATTTTTGTATTTTGTTATTGAAATCACTTAAACTTGGAATGAACTGTTTCATATTCAAAACTTGACAGGTCCATTACACAGGTGCTTGAAACAAACTTTAATGTTTATATGGGCAATTATACTATAGTAAGATGTATACAACAACAACAACAACAAATACTTTTATTTTTGAGTCACGTTACATAGAACAGTATGGTATAAATGTGGGTTCTTATTTTTTTTAATTGAAAATATCAAAATCAAGCGTTTAATTGTTAAAAAACATGGGGACAGATATTCTCTCACCACTAGAATACATAACTTATTGTTGCATATGTCAACACAGGTCATTATATAATACTTTTTCATTAATCATATGTAAATAAGGTACATGATATAACCTACTCTTTTAAATGAGTAGAAAATTCTTTGTAAAATATATATATATATATATATATATATATATATATATATATATATATATATATATAAACACACGAAAAAAACAAACAAAAAACACACAAAAAAAACAATAGTGACCGGTATTTAGTATAACAGACAGAAGGAGAGAAAAAAAATAATAGCGTTAAAATAAACATAGATAGCGCTCGAACAAATTACTGTCTGCCTACGACCGTCTGCGCGAGTTTCCCGTGTCATAGTAAAATATTATGAATGAGTATTGAAATCTCGCGAGATCTTGAAAACTACAAATGTAGTATATTACACGATTTCAATAGTTTGGAATGTGGGACAAGGTCATTAGAAATTCGCTAAATATGTATCGGTCAGTACAGGCAGTGGAATGTGTGTTATTAATGGTTAATGTTAAAAATACGATGCAATTCTAGAGGATAACAATACTGTGGTAAGTAAATGTTCCTAACATGTTTATACTTTAAAGTGCCTTATAATATCACGAACAAATAACGATAATTTTTTAAGGTTTTGCCAGCGACCACTTGTGAATAATTCTCTAAATTTTAATATATTTGGTTGTCTGTAGAAGTAACTTGATAAATAACGTTTTCTATTCAAAATAAAAAATGGACATGTAAACAAATAGTGAAACTCGTCGCCTATTTCATTCAAACTGCATAAATTACACTTCCTATCTTCATAAGGGAGAAATGAATTAAGCCACCTTCCGTTTCAACGGGAAGCCTGTGATTACCAGTTCTAAAATGGAAAAGTGAACAACGCAAATTGTCAGGCAGTATCTTTAAATATGGTTCAAATATTATATCATTTTTAAATATTCTATAGTTTGTACCCTTAGATGAATTAGCTAGTTATCCATTCCATTTTTAATGAATTGGTCGATTAATATTCTTTTAATGTTTTTACCAATATTTTTGACATTTGTTGACTTTTGATATATCCAAATATGTGTATTTCCGGTTTCGTTTAAATATTTCTATTACAATCTAACCATTTA